GGAAACAGGAATACCATACAGCAATTACAATTACGTCATCAGTGTAAGGAAGACACATAGGGTTAAAATGAAAAGTCAATATCTGGTATGTCCGCCATTGACAGCAACACAGGCCATGCAACGTCTTCTCATTGATCGAATAAGTCTGCGAATAGTGTTCTGGGGCATTCCACTCTTGACGTGGTGTATCTTCAAGTTCTCTCAGGTTCTGTACTTGCGGGGGTCGGTCGGGTAGCCTAGTGGTTAAAGCGTTCGCTCGTCACACCGAAGACCCGGGTTCGATTCCCGACATGGGTACAATGTGTGAAGCCCATTTCTGGTGTCCCCGCCATGATATTGCTGGAATATTGCTAAAAGCGGCGTAAAACCAGACCCACTCATTCACTCACTGTACTTGCGGACGACGTGAGAGGCGTTGACCCAGGTAATCCCATAGATGTTCAATTGGCGATAGATCGGGTGACAGTGCTGGCCATGGAAGCAGAGGCACATTATTGTTCGCTAGGTACTGTGTTGAAAGACGTACTGTGTGCGCTCTAGCATTATCTTGCTGGAAGGTTTGCATATCCTGGTGCTGATGAAAGAATGGGATGACGTGATTTGCCAAAATGTTATTCCTGTAGTAAAGGGCATTAACTCTTCCACGACAAACATGGAGCTCTGTTCGATGGTTATGACTGATGCCGCCCCACACCATGACACGATGCTAGTCGACTGATGCCGATTAATAGTGCAAGCCCACTCAGATACCATGCCGCAGTTTAGCATGAATACCCCACTCACACACAGTATACGGACTCTGAGCCGACCAGTCCTTGTTTTAGCCCCTTTATGCCGAGCGCCAGACAGGGTAACAACAAGTACCATCTTTAAACGTATTTTGGTATGACGCTGCCGGGGATCGAACCCCGACCTTCCGCTCTCCGGGCGTACGCTCTACCGCTAGACCACGGAGGGGGTCTTGACTGGTATATGTATTTATAATCTAATTTAAGGCATCTTCGCAATTCCATCACATAAACATAATGTTAAGACACCGGACATTCAATAATCAAAGGATACCGTTAACATGTTAATTGGTAGGAATTATTCTGAAGAATATCTGAATATACCAACAGTCACGAGATTAGTTCACTTTTAAATCTTAGAGTAGTATTCTCTGAAACAATGATTGTTTTAAAGTGTAATATCATTACAGTTATAGACTGGCGCAATGCAAAATAATCTGTTGGTAACTTTTTGACGTATTGCTGCAACTTCAATATTTGTTGTTTTTTCACATCTCTCTTTGATGTCACGGTAAACTGTTATATTTTTGGTCGAAATACTAGGTTTTCTGTGCCTGGTTGTTGTACTATCTTTGACACATCTTCCAACAACACTTCACCTCCAACATCTATCACCAAAGTTGTCAAAAAACCGTATGTGTAATATCTTGTACTTGAACAGTGCTTTCTCTATCTTCAGTACAATTTTCATGTAACCAGTAATGATGTTTTAAGAAATTAAAATTGCTGCATATGGATTTATTGTAAAATCATTATCACGATCATTTGAAAGAATAAAGAAAAGTTCATATTGTAATTATCATAAGTGCAGATGCTGGGATTGGGGAGGGTTTAGGAGGCCCGTATGATCCTGTCATGGGGTGTTTTAGTTTATAAAAATATGAGGCATAATTTTATGTTACAAACTCGGTGTCCAATTTGTGTGGATCGATGCTCATGATGTCAATCACTGTCCAGAATATCTGGTCTAAACTCACTTGTTTACAGACCGCAGTCATGTAGCTCAAATATTGCTGAGTGCGGAGTTAAACAACCAACAAATAAAAACTAAACAAACAAACAATAATATAATTTCAGCTACCATGATAGAGTGATGGCGTCAATAATAAGCAACCAAACTCTCCCTGCCTGTGCGGACATCATTGATGTATCGGCGTTCAACCATTACATCACCCTCCTTGCGGTGAGTTCAGCAAAACCTTTAGCATCCAATTCAGGTCGGGACAACTTCCCGATGGCCAGCAGTCCGAACATGACCACACAGAAGGAAAGCGAGCTACAAAAACGTATTTTATATCACTGGAAAGATCTCGAAGAGACAAATCCAAATAATGTGTGTTCATATGTTCATAAGCTCAAAAATTGGCTCAGAAAATGCATTAGTGCAGAAATTTAAGAAAATTACTAACCTTTCTTTTACAATATGAATTCTGTTTTTCATCCGGTCATTGAAGGCTATGTGCACATATTCTGAAAAGACATGAAAAACACATTAAAATTCTTTTCATTTCAGTAATAAACGCATTCCACATGCTTTAGACACATGAACAATGTAAGATAGATTTAATAGATTTGAAGCATAGCATATTTAAAGTTCTAGGTCACATAGCATACTTACCATTTATGAGCTTCATGGGTTATGAGCTATTTAAATATTCTTAGAATTACCTCCATCAGTGCACTCCTCACGAGCAGGGTACCGATCTGCTCTATGCTCTAGCCATGGGGCCTCAACGTCGTCACCTAAATCAGATATACTTGTATATTATTTCTTGTAACATGTATATTAATACTTGTCATATGTATATTAATTCTTGTAACATGTATATTAATACTTGTCATATGTATATTACTTCTTGTAACATGCATATTAATTCTTGTAACATGTACATTAATTCTTGTAGGCTTAAAAAAAGTCACAGATAAAGGTTTTAGGCAACACAAATATGTGAATAGTGATCAGCTCTGAAGATACATGAGATGTAAAAATTCAGATAAAAAGCTACGAGAAATACAGTTTGTATTGATGGTAAGTAAGAAAACCGTTAATCATGTTTTTGTAATCTGTGTGGAAATTATTATAACTGATTATGTTGATGATGTATCTTTGTATGCTCTAAGAAAAGGATTCTCCTTACCTCCAACCTGATCTTGTTATAGATAGTTATAGCCAATCCAGTGCATGTTTACGTTCTCCTTTTGGACAGATAATACTTGGGCTTTTTACCTGTATTTTGGTATTAAAGAATAAAAATAAATCATGATTTAGGCAGAAAATGAAGGATAACATGAATTTCTATTTGTACTGTTTTGTAAATAGCTTTAAAAATGCTCCACTGACATTTTCCGAGAATCTATAATTGGCAGACAGAAAACAAGTCAGTACTGAAATACAAAGCGTATAAAGATCTCAAATCATACCACTTTGTACTTCCTGTCCGAAAACATTTAACTTAAACCACATGTCTCCCTAACTTCGATAAAACAATAACAAGTACTTGATACTCAAAGGTCAATAACCATAACCATAAACTGGGCTTCAATAGAGAACATCGAATTACAAGAGGCCCACAGGGCCTGTATCGCTCAACTGGATATTTACGCAGTTATGACAAAAATTATATATCAGGGCCTAGATTTTCGAAATGATCGTAGCCCTAAAATTATCGTAAGCAAATCGTAGGCTATCGTAGCATATTTTCGAAACTATCGTAGCCCTAAGATATCTTAAGATTGTCGTAAATCTAAGATAGCCCCATACCTGTCGTAAGTTTATTTTATCTTCATCCAAGATGGCGGCATATTTCTCCATAGATATTTTGACAAACAATTAGTCTGTTTTACGTCCAAACGTTGACATTTCATTTTGTAAAACTGTCTCATTCAAATTTACACTTCGAAAGCACGAAGAACGTATCAAGGATTTCACGTAAAAAATGTTCTTAATCGCGACAGCGATCCACATAACTGTGGAGTCGATAGCTTACAATATATTTCTATCCGAGTCCATGCTGAAGAAGTTTGAAACAACATACCTTTTCGATAATCTGGGAAGGATAAAAACGGAAGGTGTCGGCAGGCTACAGTAATGACCGTGACCTCATTGATAACTCAGGGGGAGCTAATCTTAGTTCAAACTCTAGTTGAGAGTGGTTTCCCTTTGTATTCCCCCCGGGACACCTTGCTCAATGTTAGAGTTTTCATAAAGCGCAGAGTTCCGCTGTTATATTTTATTGATCGCATTTGTGTCAATGCTTTAGTCTTTAATGTACATATTATATTTTTTGTCTGAGCAAGATTATGTGCACAGTCGCTGTGGCTGAGATATTGCCGATTCTTATGCATTGGAGGCGTTTTGTACTTTGTATGTATGATTTGTATGTAAGTAAAGCTGTGTGTTTAGAATTGTACGATGAATAACTGTAATGTGAACTATGGCATTTATGAAACAATATATACAGGCTACTTCATGCTTTTTGTCGAATACGATTTATATTTCGTCGAGTGAAGCCTCAAACCCCATATTGTTTCGAGATCGAAGATATCGAAACAATATGGGGTTTGAGGCTTCACGAGACGATTTATATTTCGTCGAGTGAAGCCTCAAACCCCATATTGTTTCGAGATCGAAGATATCGAAACAATATGGGGTTTGAGGCTTCACGAGACGAAATATAAATCGTATTCGACAAAAAAGCATGAAGTAGCCTATTTATTATATACATCTCCCATTTTTACATATTTTAAATTGAAATTTAGTCAGATCTTTCAACTACGAGAACGACGATATTTCTCGCGTCTCGACCTGCTCACATACGACCTGTCAAACCTGTCAACAAAATACAAATGTGAAACAAAAACATTTATTCAAATTGGCATTTTATCAATTTCTTAATGTATTATTGTATACAACTCATTGTCCAAACAATGTTTCGTACTAACGTCAATGCGTAGCAATACATAATAATCCATAGACAGCTGATTGTGTTCAGAGAAAAACAACGTCGCACACTCGCTTCGCTTTTAAAGTTTGAACTTTTGTCAACAAAGTCAACAACGTAAAAGGATATAACAAACACTGAATATGAACGTGAAAAGGTAAGTCCAAACATATTCTGTTGTCAATATTTTATGACGAACATTATTTATGCCATATTTCAAGATGATCTTGTCATTCTATTGCAAGCATGGTCTTTTCAATGGTAACTCGTCTTCACGTGTGTTCGATGTTGTCGCATTTGCAGTGTTTTTTTCGGAGGACATTGATACATTGAACATGTCAGGCGATAGACATATGTTAACATTTCCGTTGATGGTATTTCCAGACAACAAGCTTGTCAGAAAATGTTGATTCTGAAGGCGGCTGGACACAGATTGCATCGTAAATCCACCCTGCATTGGTGCCGAGTCCGGATTTCGATCAGCTGTTGTGACTGTGCTGCTGGCGGTGTTACTGTTTGACAGAATGCGAGATATTCCCTTCTGCTTTTCAGTATTCATACTTGAGTAATCATGATCGAATTCACGTTTTTTTGCCCTAAATTTGTTAAATAAAATAATTCAAAATAACATTTTATCCATATTTTGAAAGATCAATGAATGATATTTGTATTTCTCTAAAGAGTATTTTATTTTTTATTTGGTATTTCATTACTCTAATGTCTTAAAACAACACGTTTATAGGATGAGGCCAAATGTTTTTACCAATATATGTTCTTATGATATTCAAAATACCAACAAAATGAATATAACTAACTTATACAAACCCATTTTAACAATTGATATTTAAAAAGGAAACTCGATTTGTTATAGTCCCCAGAATTATTAAATAAGTGTAGATAAAATTAATGTATATTTTCACTTCAGTGGAATACCAACCTTCAAAATCTATTTCTAAATATGTTTTTTCCATATAATTTTATTGTTTTAATATATGTAGTATAAATATTTCATAAATTCATTTTTTTTTGTTTACAGCTGTCATCTCACCAGATATCTGAATGATGTCATTGGGAGAAACGCCACTGTCTGTCAACTTCTGGACCAGGTGTTTCCTCATGCTGAGGGGCGGTCGGGTAGCCTAGTGGTTAAAGCGTTCGCTCGTCACGCCGAAGACCCGGGTTCGATTCCCGACATGGGTACACTGTGTGAAGCCCATTTCTGGTGTCCCCCGCCGTGATATTGCTGGAATATTGCTAAAAGCGGCGTAAAATCATACTCACTCACTCCTCATGCTGAAAAAAACCCAAATGATTCAGGTATATTCAATATCATGCCATTTATTTGATATTTATTACCTTATTTATTTTGACTTACTTTATGGCTGATTGTCATTGTATTTCCCAATATTATACTAAAGTGTTTATCCAAAACTAATATAGATATTGAATATTTACCTGTCTGGTGTCAATTTTTTGTCATCAGCTATGTCAGCACCTTCTGTCATAGCCTTCATATTCCATATAGCTTCTTGACACCCAGTGGGGCATTTTTGTACCAGTACGACTGTTCGTTCCTGTTGTTATTGACTGCTAGAAAAAATGGACTGTATGGTGTACAAGAGGCTGGTGGTCGTCTTTGTCTGTACAATTTATATGCATTGACAGGGCATTTTTTTCAGGTCTTCTGGTGTTGCATAGGCCCTTGGTTTTATTTGCCGTATGTTTTTAGGATTATCCCCAGGTCTTCTTTTTGTTTGTCGCTCACTTATAAAAATAAGATACTCGGATCCATCATCATCATTTCTAATGTCAATGTCTCCCAATTGAAATTTCTGTTTCCTTTCCAGTTCTCATGCCGAAGTTGAGACAACAAATCATCCACATGGTGTGAAGGAGGCTGTGTGGGTTTTCACTTCCGAGGGTCTTGGCATCGTACATGACATCAATATCCATATCTGACAGCTCTTCAGCAGCCTTGGGTTTGTTGCCTTTACCCATTGATTTAAGTTCTTTTTGTTTGCATTTGAGTGTTTCTCTAGATCTTGCAAATGTGATATCGGAAATGATGTTAAATGTAGAACCCATTTGTTTCAAGTGTCTTTGTAGGGAAGATTGGTAGCTTTTTAGACTGACTGGTTCATATTCTGATCCATCCTTCTTTTTTACTGACAGAAAAAAATCTTGACAAATAGGAATCTAAAGATACTGCATCGATTTCTTCAATTTTTCTAGTTTCCCCCTCAACCATCACTAGGTACTCACTGATAATTCTAATGTCTCTATCTGTCTTCCTTCTTGTGTTTTCATTTTCCAGATCTCGAAGAAACCTTGAAACATCATCATCACTGATAGATTGATACTTTTTATCACCAAGTATGCTGTAATCTATTGCAGATAATAAATTATCCATATCACCTCTCTCTATGTTGTCGCTCATTTCGGCTAGCAGACGATCAAAGGGAGGTAATCATGAAATTAAGTCCCTTTGTATCAAGGGGAAGTAACTCGAGATGAAAGTAGTTCCGGTTCAAACCTTATATTTTCACTGGTGAAAATATAAGCTTATATTTTCACTGCAGTGAAATATCATTTTCAAATTTATTTCACAATACCATTTATATTTTCACTATATATCTATATATTTCATACTTATGTATATAATAAATGCAGTTATGTTATAAAATCTTGGTTGTTTTATATTTTTATTTCATGTCTTTCAGTTATGAGTAAATCTCATTTTGTTTATTTCTTTAAATTTCAACCAGGGATCTTATATTTGGTTCGCCCAATGGAATAATTATAAAATTTAATTTTTGAGAATCACATTCACCATCAATGTAGTGCACTGTAAAGTCGTAAAATGCCATTAAAGATGGTCACTGAAATTCTCATTCTGAAAGTAATTAAGATTTAAGCTCAAGTTCAAGGAATTGCATCCGTCCAGTATGCAAAGGCATGAGTGCCAATTTATTGTTCCAATTTCAAGTGGCATCAACTTTTCTCGATAGCAGTAAATAAAATATCTACAATAAAAAATGTCTTCTATTGCTGAATAAACTCTCAAAAAATTGACGATGGAAATTGCTGCAGAAAAAAAATTCTGCCAGTTATTTCTGCAAAAACAAATACATTCAGCCAGTTATTTCTGAAAAAAAAATTCTGCCGACCATTCCGAAGTTGTCCTGCGCTGCCTTATCCCCGTATGGAAAGTGGTTTACCGATTTACTTATAGCAGTAATTCTTTTACTCAATTTAGTATTCATTTAATGATATCAGTTATGTTCTACTGATATCAAGACATTAAATAATATCATTAACTGTTGGATGATATCGTGAAATTAAAAAATTATTAATGATATTCAAAGAAAAGAAATATTTTGCAGTGTATTAATGATTTCAGTTACTGTTACCATACTTACATTGACTAATGATATCGTGTATCCAGTAACTGATATAATTAAATCAGTAAACAAAAAACTAATGCTGAATTATTGATATCATTTAACGAAATTATCATCTCAGGTAATGAATTACTGATATCATAAACATGAATAAATGACTTCAAATCATAATTTCAAATTATATACATGTATTGTTATGCAAAACCGTGTAAATGCTCTTGAAAAATAATTTAAAACTCTGATATCAGGAAAATATATTCGGGATATCAATAAATAGGGTTTATCAGAAATGAAATGAGCAGTGTTTATGGTCATGAATTGTATTAATGATATCAATAACCTTAAACCCTTTTTCAAAGTAAGGGAAGGGTCGAAATGAAATACTTCAAGAGAATTTTTAAATAAATTCTTATTGAACAGTGTTAAATGCTCTTTCAAAGACGACTGTAATGAGCAATCCAGGAATTTGATTAAAATAGCAGTGATTCAACAAATTCTGCTATCACCTAAAAATCTGTTTTTCAAAAACCCTGTTTGAGTTTATTATACCGGTTAATACTTGTTTGACTCAATAACCACAGAGACGATTTTACAATCGACGTTGAACAGACGTAATGGACGCAAATTCTTCTTAAATCTTCATCACCGTCATCTTTTGGGATACATTTTATTATTTAATGGCTTTGAAATCGCCTCAACTCCGTTACGTTGATCGTGTCGACCATTTTGACATTGTACTTTAAGTAAATATATCACGACTGTTTGTCACTGTCACTGACTCAATGAGGTAGGTTCTTAACGGACATTTCTCATCGAAAGATCATAGTATTTAGATCTATTCGTTGCAAACAAACCTGAAAATATGTTACTGTAAAGCAATTAGAGCATACACTCGTTTATGTCATCTCTCGTTCTGAGGGACTATTTCCCCCGCGATACAGTTTGTTGTCGTATGGCGGTCTGTGTGAACATGAAGTCACACGTGCAAACTGAAGTTAATCGAGGAACAAAATAGGTATATAAAAAATATGAAACTATTCATTCACTTTGTGTGAGTTTATTTTGGTATGAACCTTTATAGAGTCAGGGCCAAACTGTATGAACGTCGGAGATTTCGACGACGTTTACAACATATCTGGGCCTGACTCTAGGAAGGTTCATACTCCAACTGACTCACACAAAGTAAATGTCAATTCTCAATAAATTAAGTAACAAGGGGCATTTCGTTCCAGGTTGGCATTATCTTCATTCTAGCGCTTCTGCAGAAGCGACGATTCCACCCCGAAGTATTTGGAGGGAGACCGGCATTGATTGTGTGAGTACCATTACCTATGCAGCTCTGTGTATATATCATCTTCATCACACATATATAATTGCAGCATGTAATGACTAAAATTATCTACACAAGGCCATCTCTTAGGATTAATGGTGTTTGGGGCCTGGAACTGGGGCATCCCATGGGTAGTATCAAGTTATGTGATGAAGTGCTTACCTTACATGTCTGTTTTAATGATTAGAGAGGACCCATTAGTCCAATATATTGGTATTTTGTCTTTCCAGTCCTCTTCCTCTACTAGACGGCTACGACAACCGTTTCTCATACGCTGTAGCCTTCGGAGCCGTCATCAACATCATCGCAACATTGTTCATGAAATATACAACCAACTCCAACTTTTCTTTGTGGGCTAAGGGTTGGTCTCTCCTATTAGTATCTTTATGTACCACGAGTGGATCCGGGGAAGTGTGGATGGTGGTGGTTCTCTCATACCTGTCATCATTTCCCGATAGACAGCTTACATTAGCAGTCAAATCGTAACATTCAAAATCATAAGTTGTCAAAATAACAAGCATAATCACATAGGCGTGACAACATGAATCAGTCATATGACACATGATGCACATCAATATGACGGCAATAGGACACTGACATGAGAACACAATGACATGACGGCGATAAACAATGCCATAAGGGCTAGCAGTACCAGTAATATGACAACAAACAAACAAAATGGCATCGAATGAGGTTATTATATCGGCACGGATCACCTAATTACTACTGTGTACAGGGGACACGGGGGGCCCAGTCGTCAAAGGCGCCGCGATTCGCTGTGCAGAGTTGCCTCCCTTGGGCACGCCAGAAACCTATGATTGTGGGTTCGAAACCCAGTTCGCCCCGAATATGTTTCTAGATTTGTCAGCACCATACCCGTGCTCGTGGGTTTCACCGAAGTGGTAGACATCTGAGACCTGCATCACTTCGGGCTTTCCTCCCACATTAAGCTGACACGCCGTGATATAACTGGAATACTGTTAAAAGCAGCGTTAAACCTAACTCACTCACTCCTTCACTCACTACTGTATACAGAAAGCTACTGTCTCACATAATATGATAGCATCAAGCAACACAGTGCCATGGTAGTTATGAAGAAGCAGAATGACATGAGAACGAGAAGCTCAATAACATGGCAACGAAAGGAAAACCATAATGACAGCACAATTTCATTACTGTAAGAGGGACAATGTCAAGATATCAAGAATCACATGAAACATAAAGTATACAGAGTCATAATGCAATGCTCACTTTAGCACCTGCCTCATCTGACACCCCACGTATGTTTGTCATCTAATTTCTTATGATACTATTGAACCTTTCGGAGGTTCAGTAAAATCTGATGGTGTCTGGATCTGTTCTATTCCAGCACTGGTGCTGCAGTTTCGAGCT